CGAATGAAGATAAAAGATTTACAAGTTTAAAAAAGCTTAAAGTGAAAGTAAAAGTAAAATCCTGAGACCAAAGAGAAGGAGGATGATTAGTAAAAAATGATTAGATTATCATATTAACCAAATTAACTTTAAATATATTAATAAAAGTTTAGAATTAGTTAGAATTGGATAAAAATTAGGTAAAATTGGGTAAAATTGGGTAAAATTGATTAAAATTGTTTAGAATTGTTTAGAATTGTTTAGAATTGTTAAAGGAAAAATAATAGCCGGATCCACAAGTTCAACAAAAAGTTCAACAGAAAGTTAAAGAAAAGGTTAAGGAGTACTTTGAATATCCGTGCATCATGCATCGATCCTGCCTTATTAAAAATTAAAGAATGGGAAGAGGTGATCAAAGACTATTTGTACTCATTTGTACTCATGTTTAAGTTGACATACACATCAACTATGGTATAGTTCACAATATAATGATAACATATCGATTATGGTATAATTCGCAAGCTAAATATTTATAATGAGGTCTAATTTGCAATTAAATAATAACGAAACGATAAAACTGTACAATTAAATATGCACAGTAAATATAGTAAATACAGTAAATACACAGTAAATACACAGTAAATAACTAATATAATGACATTATGACACATAGGTACCCAGACCAAAAGTGGCAAGAAGTTTAATAGTGGTCAAAGCAGGGTCTGTTGCAGGTCCCTGATTATCGAAATAAAAGCATAATTTTATTGGCATTTATTTTGGAACGGTACCTGTTACGATTTACTTTAAAGTTTCGTGGGGTAGTTTCATTGATCAATTTGTATTAAATTTCCTTGTTAAATCAAGATAACCCATGTTCAAGACGTTTAAGGATAATGTCAAACCATACATCTATATATATACATACATATATATATTATTATTATATATTCGTTATAGATATATATACATCGTACGTATATATTATAAATATATATAATATATATATATATATAGAATAATTGGAATAATTGAAATAATTGGAGTAATTGGAGTAATTGGAATAATTGGAATAATTGGAATTATTGGAATTATTAGAATTATTAGAATAATTAATTAGAATTATTAGAGTTATTAGAATAATTAGAATTATTAGAATAATTAGAATAATTAATTAGAATTATTAGAGTTATTAGAATAATTAGAATTATTAGAATAATTAGAATTATTAGAATTATTAGAATATTTAGAATTATTAGAATATTTAGAATTATTAGAATAATTAGAATTATTAGAATATTTAGAATATTTAAAGTTTTCAAAAACGTTGTAACCATGGTTGTAACCATGTTTAACGAAAATTTAGTTTCTTTTTATGATTACGTAGTAAAAACTTGTTATAAATAATTTAATAAGGATAAATTGATATTACAAGTGAAAAAATTCATAAATTCTCAATGGATGCAAGTAATCTATTTCGTTAATACGTGGATGATTGCAACTTGAAAAGATGGTTCCCTTAATTAAGCTGTAGATAGTATTGATCAACACGTATTTCTTTGCAGAGGGAGGACGGGACCTGTAAAAATATGGAAATCCTAAAATCCTGAAATTTTGAAATCCTGGAATGTACTGGATGAAAGGAATATCGTGTGTGACGACATGATTATTTGTTTACACTTTTAACATTAACTGTTAATATTATCATTATATACTTCTTACTATTATTATACATTTTAAAATACATCAAGAAAAAAACTGGTTTAAAATCTCGGTAAAATTCCTTAATATTGTAGATATTACGTTAGCGTTAGAAAAAATTATCTGTTATGTACTGTACATACGTACGTACGTATTAAGGAAATTATATATTGATATTAGAGAATTATTTTTCATCGTTAAATAAAAATATATACGTATTTATTAATTATTATTAATCGATGAAATACATTATTAGTTATGTATATAATTAATTAGTTATGTATATAATTATTAAACATAATTATTATATACATACGCATAGTACGTATAGTACGTAATTATTAAACAGAATTATTAACGTTAAACAGAATTATTAACGTTAAACAGAATTATCATTAACGTTAAACAGAATTATTAAACACAATTATTAAACACAATTAAACATAATTATTGAATTATTGGAATTAATTGGATTTATTGGAATTAATTGGATGTTAGATGAATTAACGCGTAAAACAAAAGTACGCATATCCCCAATTATACATTCATGGATGTATCATATCATATGTAATTTTTTTTGTTTAACCATCCTATTCTAGACATATTCTAGACATATTTTGGACATATTTTAGACATATTTTAGACATATTTTAGACATATTTCTAGAGTAACTAATAAATTATGGGGAAGGATCGCTGACTTTAATCACTTATTTGTTCACTTTTTTTCTTCTGCAGATTCCGCCAAATTTTGTCAATAATTTTGTCAATAATTTTGTCAATTATTTTGTCAATTATTTTGTCAATAATTTTGTCAATTATTTTGTCAATTCCGCCATTCACTTTTTTATACTTTCTTGATGATCAAGCTAAACGAATCAAGAACACAATAATGAAACAAATACGTAAAGTTGACAGTTGAAAATCGGGCAATTTTTGTTTCTTTTTTTATTTTTTCTTTACATCATCGTACGCTGAACATTGTAGACATAATAGATTAATCGGAACAAATATAACTTACGTGCTTATTTTTCTTTCTTTAACCACAATCGCGTTATCTTAACTTTTGTGATGAAACGTTACTCATCGGGTAAGTGCGAGCCGTGGGCAATTAGGTAACCGATCCAACTTGAAACATACCTTTTTCTGCAAATGGTTAGTTTGCAGCATTATTCCCTTTAATTCGAAATAACATCCACAAATGTTTTTTTTTTTTTTTATGTGTTATATTAAAGTTCCTTTATCCTAAAATCATTTGAGGCGTCTTTGCGCTACTGTATGTGGGAAACAGCAAAGCACATTATCCGTCATACTGCATATTCTTGCATGAATAGCTTGTACTCATCCTTACCATTCATTCAATCCATACATTACGTAGTATTTTTTTTTTCCGAAGAATAAAAAACCCATGAAACACAGAAATCATAGAAAACACAGAATCAAAAGTCTAAACTGTATTGGGCTTTTGGATGGTCGTATAAAGTGGTACACGTGGAACGGTACAATACACATCTCCTTAAATGGTTTCTCTCCTTTTTAGCTGTTAGTTTAATTTTACAGTACGTACGTACGTACGTATTAGTTTTATATTAATGTTAAGTTTATTATCAATTTTACAATATCAGATATTAAGTTTATTACTGTACTGTACGTATTAACTGTTAAGTTATGCTGTTATGCTGTATGCAAATTGTTTATTTATTTATACGTATCGTCGTTGTTTATTCGTTTTGTTTATTATTAAAAAAAATACGTGTGTATGTAACTTGTTCTTTGCAACTTCAAACTTTACAATCGATTACCTGTTACCGATTCATTTATTTATTTATTTATGCTTATGCTTGTATTCTGCTATTACTGTATTATCGCTGTATTTCTAATGTATTTCTGCTGTATTGCTGCTGTATTGCTGTTCTACGATTCTACATATGATTCTACATATGATTCTACATATGATTCTACATATGATTCTACATATGATTCTACATACGTATACCTCTTTTTTCTTATTCGAATCACTAATCATAAGCATCATAAATATTATAAACAATCATATGTGATATCATTCATGTCTTTCCCCGCAAAGTTCACGATCCTTTCTTAACCATCTGAATTTAAAAACAAGGCAATTATTCGTAATTATTCGTTCTTGATATCACAAACATCGTGATACTTTTCACGCAGTATAAATTGTTACATTAATTTCCATTAATTTTCACCAATTTCGTTAATTTCGTTAATTTCACTAATTCTGTAAATTTCACTAATTTCATCCACATGAATTTGTGTACAACTCGATCATTTCTTGTTGATTTTACCCGAGTACCGTTACCGTTACCGTTACCTTAACGTTAAATCTACCTAATATATTAGTACGTACTTAATATATTAGTGCTTAATATATTAGTGTTTATTATATTTCTATTTTACATTCATTTTACACATATTTTCTATTTTATTATTACTATTTACTACTACGTACGTACGTACGTACTACCGCTGCTATGTATTATATTACTTAAATATTCTATATCTGATATTACACTATCGCTATTACATTTTTGTTATTACACTTTTACTATAACTGCTACTTACTTGATGCGACTATCATTACATATTTACATATTTAATTTTAATTACGTATTTATATTATTCTTAAAATTATCTGGTCATCATGTAGTCACTATTTATACCCATGTAGTTAATTTTATTTAAACTCGAATAATGAACCTTTTTTCTCGAAGCAACTATAAAAAAAAAAAAAAAAAAAAAATATCAAAAACTTGAAACTCCCGCTCTTTGCATAATTACGTTAGTTTTTTTTTTGTTGTTGATTTCAGGATTTTCTACGTACTTGCTTTGTACCGAATTTGTATTTGTTGTAACACATTTCTTTTAAACTTTATAACTTACACTATTATAAATTAAAAAAATTATAAATACTTTTCTTTTTTTGAATGGTATCATTTTCTTGCAAGTTGTCTTTTCGTATATCTCTGCTGTAAGGATAAACTTGCGATTTTCTACTTTTTTATCCTTTGGCGTTTCCATTCTTTTCCTCTTTTATTCTTTTTTTTTTCTTTCTTTTGGCTTCCTCCTTTCATCGTCTCGTTTCATTCAACCTTTACATATTTCCATCATCATCATTTTTTAAAAGAAAAAAAAAAAAATCTTGTAAAAAAAAAAAAAAAAATTCCTTCACCAAATCATTATATCGTTATTGGTCTGATTTTGTTTTCATTTGATAGATTTTATAAATTTTTTTTTCTCCATTTTTCAAAGAAAAAAAAAAAAATTTTTTTTTTTTTTTACTTTACCCTTATAATGTCTATATATGCTCCCGACCACACTGCAACGTCGACCTCAGATGATGATAATCAAATAGCTATAATGGAGTTGACCGTTTCTCGGGTTCGAACTGCCTTATTTCAACCTTTGAGAAGTGATGATTTTAATGAACGTGCAAAACAATTGGATAAAATTATTGATGTGGTTAAAAATTGGGCTTGCTCTGATTATGATGTTAATACTATTGATATTTCCTCTGAAAATCAAGAACTTTCTCCTCCTCTTAATACGATTGATTCTTCTAAAAGGTCTTCAATATCTGACGGTAGTATTCCGGTAAATCATACTGCTTCTTTAAATTCTTCTCCCATATTCACTGATGATCCACCTTCGGGTTCGGTTTCTTCGTACGCTGTTTCTCCCAGTGGTGATGGTAATGTTATTTATTATCATTATTATTATTACCATTTATTATTATCATTACTATTATTACCATTTATTATTATCATTACTATTATTACCATTTATTATTATCATTACTATTATTACCATTTATTATCATCATTATTATTATTACCATTTATTGTCACTATTACCATTTATTATTATTATTATTATTACCATTTATTATTATTTTATTATCACTATTACCATTTATTATTATTATTATTATTATTACCTTTATTTTTTGTTTTAATATTACTTCTCCCGATTTTCTCTCTGATTTTCTTCTGATTTTCTTTCCGATTTTCTTTCCGATTTTGTTTCTGATTTTCTTTCCGATTTTCCTTCTGTGTCTAAAGACAGCCCGAATAGTTCATCTATTCAAAGAAGTAATAGTATTCCTCGTAGAAGTTCTGTAGATCAAGATATTTATGATGGAAATACTGAAAAAGCCCTGAAACTTCTTCTTTACACTATTTTGCGCATGTCTATTGATTGTCCTTTTGATGAAGTTCGTCGAACGTTTACAAAATTCCTCATAGATCTAAGGGTAAGCTTTTTTTTTTATATACTTATATTTTTGTCGTAACCTTTAGTATCTTTCTTTGTAAATATATATTTTTTGGTGGTATGCTCACGATGACAAAAAAGAATGGCTTCCTTGACTTCTTTGATTTTGTTTGCTTCTTTTTTATCTTCGCTGCAAAAATCGTACTTGCTTCTTTGTCACGTGCGAGCGTGCCAATGTAGTGAGTTATGTTCACGTGCGTAAATCAAAATATCGTGTTTTTTTTTTTGGTGTCGTATAACTTGTATGATTTGCCTTTTTAGAACGGGCGGTTTAAAGTAGTTACAAAGTAAGTTTCTTTTTGTTTTTTATTTTTATTTCGTTTTTTTTTTGTTTGTTTGTTTTTTTTTATCTTTGTCTTTTTTTTTTTTTTCCTTTTTTTTCCTTTTTTTTTTTTTTTTTTTGCTTGGTGATTTGAATCGTTTCTTTATAACATACAACCATGCTTAATTATTCATTATTTTATTCAGTGTGACGTTACCAAACCAATTCTCGAAAACAAAAAAAAAAAAAACGTTTCAACCCTTTTTTTTTGCTTATCGTTTGATGTTTATCGCTTTTTTTTTCTTAATATCATACGATGTCTACGCAAAAAAAAAAAAAAAAAAAAAAAAAAAAAAGGAAAAAAAAAACACTGCGCATGATAACCTTGCAAGATCGAAGATAATGAAATAGTGTTAATTTTGATGTGTTGCTTATTAATGATTAACACATAACGGTCACATTTAACGATTAACAGCATATCAACAAATATCGATTAACAAACGATTAACAAATAACATAACGATTAACACACAATGCCCAAGCAATAACCACCAAAAATAATTTATAAATACACAGTTTCTTTATAAAATTTTGTTTGTGGGATATTTAATTAAAAATGATTCTTTTTAATAATAATAATAATAATAATAAAAATTCATTTTTAACAAAAAAAATTTTTTTTTTGTTATACTTCTTTATATCTATATATATAATATATGTTTGATAAAAGACGATGGGTGTAGAGGTACCAGCACCAATTTACCCGTATCCTTCGTATTTTATACCCGCAGAGGAGATAGTGACTCTTAAATGGCCCAGTGAACGATCTGCATCTCTTTCGACCACACCGTCACCACCATCAAATCCATCCTCCGCGGACGATCGAATATCATCTTCTAATATATCGTCGACATCATCTCCAAATACTTTTGTAGGAAGACAACCTGAAGAACCTGTTAGGCGTTTAATTCTTGAAACTTTTGCTCGTGATGGAAGAATAAGTCATTTATTCAGAATTTTATCCTATTTTCCAAGTTTTATGGAAAAATATCAAGCTTCTTTTCGTAAGATTGTTGAAGATGTTATTGGTCCTGTAAAAGTTGATGAACGATTATATATTGGAATAATGGTATTTATTTTTATCTTAATATCGTGTTAATGGTTTATTTTATTTTTTATAATTTATGATTTTATTTTTTATAATTTATGATTTTGTTTTTTATAATTTATGATTTATTTTATTTTATTTAATCATTTATTTCATTTTATTTTATTTAATCATTTATTTCATTTTATTTTAATCCTTTATTTCATTTTATTTAATCCTTTATTTCAATTTATTTATTTCATTTAATTTCTTTATTTTTTTAAAACAGGCTGCATCCCAACACAAATGTCAATACCTTGTATCATTATTCAAACATCATTTTATAAATCAAAATGGAGATGCACGATGGCTTGAAGGATTACAATACGCCTCAGAAAAAATAAAAAGTTTAGCTAGATTGAATTCAATTTTGGCACATAAACCATGGGATCTTAAACCAAGTCATATAGATGATCTTATAAAAGGAGCAAATAATCCCAATGGATATTGGAAAAGATCAGATGTTATTCATGTTATTTTAGTTCTGGCAACATTTCATAGTTTAAGTAGTTTCGTAATGGGATGTGGTATAGTACCAGAATATGATACAAAAGGTGGAAATTATATACCATCAGTATTAACCCCAAATTTATTTGGATATGATGATTCTGAATCTTCTTTTGGAATTTTGGATTCTGATGAAAAAATTCGTCCGGATATGGCGGCTGGTTTAGGTGTAATGATACCTGATTCTCCGGCTAAACCTGCTTCTGCTTCTGATTTAATATCAAATAATAATGATGATCTTTTATTATCTAATCAACTTAATGAGTCGTCCTCGGTTACCTCGGTTGATGATCAATGTACTTTAAATACTAGTCAATTGATTGAAAGGTTGAAATGTAAACGCGAAGCTTCTGATCTTGATAATCTTGATAATCTTGATAATGAAACCACCGAAAATGAAGAAAGTTAGTCACTTTATATGTTAATATATTTGTTATATGTTAATATCTATTAATATCTGACATGTTAATATCTATCAATATCTGACATGTTAATATCTATTAATATATATTAATATCTATATATATTAATATCTGACACATCATTTTTTAATAGCGCCTGAGCACGATTCGTCAAACGTTACTACCGCATTCTTATCACGTGATAAGACGGAAACAACAACCAATTTCATGAAAAAACCCATCACAACACCGCTTCCGGGTGTTCACAATACGGAACAGTTTTCACTTTTTCTTGATCCTACTGTCGAAACTCCTTACTCTGATTTTCCTGTTGAAGAAGGTTCTTTATTTAAACTTCAAGAATATTGTTGGGAAGATCATGGTGTAGAGATGGTGAGCAATCCTTTACCGGGCGTAGGTGAACTCTTGGATCAAGAATTTAGTGAAATTCGAGATCTTACTGATTACTGGTAAATTATATAAATTAAATTAAATTAAATTATTTTTTATTAAATGAAAATATTAATAAATTAAATATTAATTATATTAATTATATTAATTGAAATTTTTATTAGTTTATTCCGTTCATACACAAAATCAACTACCGATTTAGATTCAACACCTTTACGACAAGCAATTTGGTTTTACGTGTTACGTTTATTCGGATTATTCAAAGACGATTATTCATATGCAAATCTTGATTATTTTCTTAATAATAAATTTAAATCTTATATAAGGAAATTGTGTTGTACACCAGAAGACATTACCATTGACGATTGGTTAGATATGGGATTTGAGTTTAGTTCCGAGGATAAATGTCACGTAAACCTTATTGCTATTGAAGCGCGTAAACAAGCGGAACTAGTTTACGGTTTATGGAATGTCATGAAATGGCGTTCAAGAGATGAAACCGAATAATAATTAAGACTTTCGTTCATTCGAGCAAAAAAAAAAAAAAAACTTTCGCTTTTTTCGTTAATGTTAATTAATGTTTACATTTTTTAATGTTAACATTTTAATTAACATTAATTAATGTTAAAAAAAAAAAAAAAAAAAAAAACAAAAAAAAAAACATTATGAAAAATTTTTTCCTTTTGCTAAAAAATTATAGAGGCTTTCCGCACGTTAAGTTCTTAAATTTTTTTTTTTATGCATAAAAAAATTACAATCAAAAAAAAGAAACATTTTATACGCATTATATTACCGTAATGCTTAATTTTCTTTTTTTTCAAAAATCAATTTATTTTTTCCTAGACTATTTAAAATACATTTCATAAAAAAAAAAAAAAAAAAAAAAAAATGGTCGGTACTAATTTTAAATTTTCATCGACCGTTAATCCTTTGGTTTTAGTAGCAAATTTTCTAATATCGATATGATATACGAGATTTCGATTCTATATTTATATATATATATTTATATTTACCTTTGAAAGGTGATATGAGAATCGAAGAACGACAGTATCGCCAGTATCGTTTCAGGGTTTTTTTATTTCTCTTTATTACAAACAAAAAAATTATAAACAAAATAAAAAATTTTAAAAAGGTGTTTTTTGTTAGATAGTGCAATAACAATAATTAGAATAGCGAAATTATTATTATTATTATTATTATTATTATTATTTTTTAAAAAAAGATTTCGCGCGAACGTGACGCGTAATCTCGTAATCTTGTAATCTTGTAATTTTACAGGTGGCCCTATGATTGTGATACGTATCACTTGTAAAAGCTTTTATTTAACATGTTCGTTAAAACATGCATCTAATTTCTGTTGCATATATATTGATACGTAGATCAACAAAAGTATAAGCAAAGTATACAGTGTAATACATTAAGTTAATACATTATTAGAGTCGTTATTAGGAACATTATATAATTTATGCATTTGTTTAATGTCATAAATGTTTTCTAGCGTATTATACGTAGCAGATAGCTGTTAGTTACCTGTTACGTATCGTATCGTACGTACTGCTGTACTGTAAGTACGTACCAGGTACGTACCATAACAGATAAAACCACTCGAAAACAAAAATATAATAGGTTATGTAGTAATTAATAGATTAAATGCATTTGCTAAACATAACGATTAAGCGAAACAAACTTTTTTAATTGTACGTATATCGCTAATTATACGTACATAATCTAATCTATCTACGTATCTGATACTGATAAGTAAAAGTTGTTTAACATAGTTTATAAAATTAGTTTATACATAAATTTCTACATTTAATACGTACAAAAAAATACAGTTTATTACAGCTTATTATTGTAATTTATTATTACATTATTACGATTTATTACACGAATTATTACGGTTTAGTATGGTTTTTTATAGTTTAGTTCAATTATAAAGTACAATTTAATACAATTAATTACAATCTAGTACAATTTAATACGCGTTTAGAGTTACATATTTAAGGTTAGATTAATTTAAAGTTTTATCGTACGTACGTACGTACGTACGTACTCACGTAGATACTGGTACTGTACGTACGTACGTACGTAATTTAAAATTTTATTTCGATTATAATAAATTTCTTTAAATATTTTTTTAAAGTAACCGCCAAAAAAGTTAATTTTAAAGAATGATTGCTATTTAGTTAAAATTACGTAATATAACCTAATATTCAAACAAATAAATCTTTTTTCTCAAGATATCGTTATCAGTACTTAATGATAGATATCGGATATCTTTTATACGTATAAAATATATATATAAAATTATCAAGGTTACTATTTTTCCTATTGACAACCCTTGAATTTTTTATAGGTCTTGTTTCTTTTGTCACACTAACAAGTACTACTTTTTTTAACCCTTCTTATTTCAATTTAGATGAAATTGGCGAAATTACAAACATTCTTTTATTCAGCCCGTACATCATTTTGCATTATAAGATAACGAACTTCTTTATAGAACAATAAGATAACGAACTTCTTAATAGAGAAATAATAACTATTTTAATAGTAAAATTTATATCAAAAATAAAGTAATTCGTCATCCTTATCGTTATCTAAGGTGGGAGGTATTTAGATAAAGTACCACATGACATGTAAATACGCACGTACGTATTACAGTTGTTGAAAAGCAATACGTACGTACGTACGTATGTATCTGAATAGAATGACGAAATAATGCATCCTTTAAATCTTTTAAAACGGTCATTTTTTTGTTCACGTGTTAGCCTTTTCGTAAAGATAATTGGTTTCATAATTGATTAAATTATTTAATTAATTACTCTTAACTGTTAAAGCTTCTCTTTCATGAACCGATTAAGACTTGGTTACGTATGTACACATATAGACACGCTAGTACGTACAGTACGTACGTACGTACGTATGTATCTGGTATGTATGCACAGTATAATGTGTATTAGTATACGTACAGTGCATGTGATTATGTGACACGTAATTCCATTAGTGACATTGGATATTCATCAGAAAGGCAATGATGTTTTTGGAATTCCGTTAAAATATTAATTTAGGGTTTACAAAGGGGCAAGTCGGTTCTAAATACGTATAAAAACAGTTATAATATTCATAGTATTCATATAATATTCACAATATTCAATCATATTATCATATTACGTGAAAATCTTAGATCAGGGGTGTGCAATTGTCGTGTACGTGCGTACACAAATTTCACAAATTTTCGAAATGCCAATTTTCTAGAGCTGAATTTCAGAATTTAGAATTTTGTTATAAATAAATTATTATCCATACTATATTTGTATATATGTCAAAGGTCATGTTTATTCCATTTTTTCCAATTCTTCTGTTTCTCTACGATTAACATCATGTAGCCTTCCTTTTTTAACCCGTTTTAATGATAATTGTCTCAATCTGCAATATATTGAAATATTTTAAAGATTTTTTAATCGGCAATATATTGAAATATTTTAAAGATTTTTTTAATCTGCAATATATTGAAATATTTTAAAAAGATTTTTGATGTGTAAATTTGTTAACCCAAGCTCCTGTATGATAGTCAGCAATAAGGATTACTTTTTGGTAATTGCTTTTTAAGACTAAATTTTCTCATCCTCGTAAAAAGGTCTTTTTGTCAAATTTTTCTCAATTAAACTATTACGTATCCGAATTAACTTTTTCCATTAGCATACTCAAATATATACTCATAATATTAGTCATGTTCGATCAGAAACCCATTTCTCTTGAAATAATTTTAGATGACTTTAACGGTATTATGCATGGGAATCCGGAAGAATCTTTAGGATGTAAATTGAAAGGGAAATTGGTTCTCAAAAATCAAAAAACTATTTCTCCAAAACAACTATTGTTTGTATTTGTCGGAAAATCAACGGTTTCTTGTGGACTTTTAGTGTCTTCTTCAAATCCAGAATGTATTATTAAATTCATTTATTATAAGTTATTTAAAATATATAAAAATATTAAAATAATAATAATAATAATAATAATAATAATAATAATAATAATAAATTTTATTCATTTCATTCTTATCAGATCGCGAGTCACATATAATTTATCGAAAGCAATGTGTATTTCATAATTCTCGTTCATCAAATAGAAAAATTCCTCCCGGAACTTATGAATATGGTTTCGACTTTGATATTCCTGGGAATTTACCTTCTTCATTTAAAGGAGCTCGTGGAAAAATCGAATATTCTTGTAATGCGATCCTTTCTCGTCCACTATTCCATAGCAATATTTTGGTAAAAAACCCAGTTATTCTAAAAAGATGTCTTATAAATGATGCAATACCATTATCTAATCTATCAAATTTTGCCGAAGGAGTTTTGGATAGTCGGATTCAATTTCAGATTAGTACTCCGATCATGGCTTTTCGTGAAGGTGGTTTAGTCTCGGCAAAATTAAATTTAAAACCTTTGGATTCGGATTCTTTTATTGAATCTATTGAATATGGTTTAAAAGAACAAATTCATTATCATACAACTGAAAGTTACACAAGGACATTTGTTGCTAGTGTTAAGGAAGATAAATTCCCACTTGGAAAGAAAACAATAAGTTTAGATCAATTATTTCATGATTCTTCCGATCCTATATCTATTGATTTTCGACTTTGCCCTTGGGTTAATTGTGATTTAGATTCTCAATTAATCAATGTTAAACATAAACTTGTTGTAACGATTAAAGTTGTTGGGAATATTTCTTCTGATAATTCTACTGATAATGATGACTTGGAATCTCAAGACAATGATTCTTCTTCTCATATTGGCCGTAGATTTTCTTCTCCTGTTGGCTCTCCTTCAACCGATCTTAATTTACGACGTAGATCTTTTCGTACTCTCTCTTTATTATCTTCAAAGTCCAGAAAATTCTCTATTTCTAGTTACTTACAGTCACATAAAAAATCCGTACGAAATTCTAGAAATGAACAATTACCTGATAATATTAAATTCTTGAATTTTGAAATCCCTTTAATTATTACTACAAAATCTGATATACCAAGGCAACAAGCTCCTTCTTATAGTTCGGTTGATGAACCACCTGCATATATTTATGCTTCGATGATACCCCCTCCACCCGAATATTGTAATGACACGTATGATTTCGATATCGATATCGATATTGATGAATGATTTACTGTAACCTTCATTAACCTTTTACCGTTACCACTACTGTATAATTATTATGTATTTTTCTATTTTAACTTGTTATGTACATGTGCATTTCTTTATAAGGAAGAGTTGAAAAAGTCGTGCATTGATTATCATTATCAAAAAAAATTTTTTTTTAAATAAATATATGCTATGTACATACAAACTTACCGTTGTATCTTAAAAAAATCAAATAACGATACGTAACGATAATGTATCATCCTACTAGAAATTTTCAAATTTATCAAATCTTTGCTGCAAATACTAATCTTGGAAAAACAATATTTTCTACAGGATTATGTCGTGCATCTGCTTCAAATTTTAAAAATTTTAAAAATAATAACTTATTAAATAATAATTCAAATAATAATTCGAATAATAACTTGAATAATTTGAATATTAATAATAATAATGGCATTAATGTTAAACAACGTAAAACATATTACCTTAAACCGATACAAACAGGTTATTCGGAATCTACTACTGATGAGAAATTTTTATCGCGTTTTCTGAATCCTGAAATGGCCGTTAAAACATCTACTTTGTTTAAATATGAAAAACCATTAAGTCCACATCTTGCCGTAAATAAAAGTTTGGTAATTTTTTCATGTTAGTATTGTAATATATATATATATGTATATTTTTTTTAAAAAAAATTTTAATATTTTTTTATCGTTCATTTAGGTACCTAAAGATGATGATGTATTACTGGCTACAAAAAATTATATAATTGAATGCGCGATCGATTCTAGTCTCGATGGAGGAACTTTATTTTTAGAAACAGCAGGGGGTAATCTTTGTGCTTGATTTATCATTCAAACATGGATAAATGTATTATTTTTATAATTATAATTAACTAAAAAAAAATAATAAATAAATAAGGAGTGGCTAGTCCGATTATGTCTGGTAATTTTTAAATTTTTGATCCTTTGATGAATTCGGAAAAAAAGGAAAAAATATATTAATTTATTTTATTTATTTTTATTTATTTTATTTATTTTTATTTATTTTATTGATTTTACTTATTTTATAAATTTAGGAACTATTCAATCCGAATTTTATAGACCTCTTCGTCTTCCAACAATTTTAATCGGTGATAGTAATCTAGGTGGAATATCAACTACAATTTCTTCCTTTGAATCCTTACGTTTACGTGGATATGATATACCAATAATATTATTATTCGATAACTCTCAATACCAAAATCATACCTTTCTACAAAATTATTTTCAAAAAAATTTCAACAACAGAAATTACAATTATAACAAAAACGATAATAATAATATTTCGATAAAAACTATCCCTCCTCCACCTAAACAATCTTTAAACAAAGATGATGATATTCATCAATTGAAGAAATATTTTGGTGATCTTGATGAAGAGTTTAGTAATGTCTTGAAATTTTTGGAAAATTGGCATTATGAAAGATTTAATAGATTGGATGAGATGGCGGATCGTAGTAAAGAAGTTGTTTGGTGGCCTTTTACACAACATAATAAGGTTGATAAAGTTAACGTCATTGATTCTGCTTACAATGATTTTATGGTTGTTTATGATCAGAATCAATGTGATCAAAATTATCATGCGAAAAAAAATAATGGTGTTTTGAAAGAAACGTTTGATGGCTCATCGAGCTGGTGGACACAAGGTGAGATGTTAAAATTCAAATAAAATTTATAAATATATATATATATATTTATTTATTATATAATTTATAGGTCTAGGGCATGGTTCATCGAAATTATCATTATCAGCTTCATATGCAGCTGGAAGATACGGTCATGTTCTTTTTCCTGAATGCATTCATGAACCATCTCTCTCACTTTCTCAAACTTTATTGAAAACAGTAGGAAATAATTGGGCCAGTCGTGTTTTTTTTTCAGATAATGGTAGTACAGCTGTGGAAGTTGCATTAAAAATGGCTTTACAATCTACTTGTAAAAGATATTTTAATGAACAAGATGATGAGTTACAAAAAATAAAAATTTTGGGTTTATACGGTTCTTATCATGGTGATACCATTGGTGCTATGGATGCTTGTTATCCAAATCCTTTTAATAAATTAGTTACTTGGTAAATTTTAAACAACCACTCAAATATTTATTCATTCATTCATTAATTAATTCATTCATTTATTTATTAATTCATTCGTTTATTTATTCATTCGTTTATTTATTCATTCGTTTATTTATTTACATTTGTATAGGTATGAACCAAAAGGAAAATGGTTTCATCCACCACGAATTTTGCTAAAAAATAATGTTTACAATTTACAAATACCTTTTTCAAACCAAACGATACATTACCCTTCATTATCATCAATATTTTCTCCAGAACGTTCCTTTTCGGATCCAGTTTCTCTAATTTATAAAAAACATATCAAAGAAACCATTACTCGTTTTATTAATGAAGGAGATAAATTTGGTGCTTTAGTACTTGAACCAATTGTAATGGGCGCAGGTGGTATGATATTTGTTGATCCATTATTTCAAAAGTTACTGGTAGAATTTGTTAGAGAATGGGATGGTTGGATTGAACATTGGGGTGATAATAAAAAAAATGATAATGATTGGAAAGGATTACCTGTTATCTTTGATGAAGTTTTTACGGGATTTTGGAGATTAGGTCAATTAAGTGGGGCTAATATATTGGGTGTGGTAAGAAACAATTATATATTTATAAATTTATAAATTTTTGAAATTATTAAATTATGTAAATTTAAAATCAAATTTTAAAAAATTTATAGACCCCAGATATAGCAACTTATGCTAAATTATTAACAGGTGGTTTAATACCAATGGCTGCAACTTTAACAACTTCTTCAATATTTTCAACCTTTCTTGGTAAGAGTAAACTCAATTCATTACTTCATGGTCACTCTTATACTGCACATCCAATTGGATGTATGGTGGCTTGCACTTCCATTGAAGAATATGAAAATTTGAGTAAAACTAGTATTGATTGGAAAATTGGAAGAGAAAATTGGAACGTTAATGAGGAAAATCAAATTTGGAGTTTGTGGAGTAAAGAGGTTTGTAAATTTATTCATATTGGCAAGTCCTTATTATTCATAACTATAGTCAAATTTATATTTAAATTTAAAAGTTATTAATTCTGGACAAACCTGCCAATGTTAATTATTGTCGCGGCTGAAGCTGGAAATTAGGGACCTCGATTTAAAAATATAAACCCTACCAAAATCCACTTATACATTTTTATTATC